TTATTAAATCTGGAAAAAAAAGGGGGAAGTGAGAGGTCCAAACCCTCTCTCTAGATCTGCACCTGCTTCTCTAATATTAAAAACTTGTTATTCATTTCTGAAAAAAAGAAAAAATGGGTGGGGGCACACTCCTTTGGACCCCTCTCCTAGATCTGTGCCTGCTTATACAACATTAAACGATGCAGTTACACAATTATAAGTTAGAAACATAAGGTAAACAAAAAGAGTAAATTTATACTTTATTTAACACTTAAGTAGAACCCAGTGCCAAATTTCTGGCTACCAGTCAGTTGCCTTCCCTCTAGTCTGCAATTAAAGATTAGTATCATTGGCAAATAGTCTTAGTAGCTTCACAATAACAAAGACAGGATAAGCAAACTTAGTGGCAATGGAATCAAAACAAAAACCCTCAAATCATCTTCCCTACAACTTCTCATTATGTAGCTTTGTGCTTAACATAATGACAATATTTCTATTACTTGGATAGCTTGAATAATCAATATCAGTAAATAATTGGAAACTAATTTTGATTACTTCATTATTTTCATGACAATCACTTTAATTATTATTTTGACTCATCATTTGTTGGAATAATCAAAAACACTAATTTCAACGAGTTGTTTTTGTGACATTAATCAACTAATTGCAATTTGATTAATTGAATAGTTTGTGAGACACTAACCAATGTGATCCCCACTCATAGCTAATCAAGTATACTGATTAATCAACCAATTTGCCTAGCTCTAGGACCATCATGCTGGGTGGGAGATGAAAGACAAACAAAAACTGTATTAATAAATACCTAAACTTTCAGATACAATGACAGTAAATTTTCAAATGAAAAAAAAAGTCAGAAATAGTGCTTAATCTTCAATATCTTCAACATGGACAAACACCACTTTTTAAGAAAACCAAATGCTTTCAATAGTAATAACTAACTTTTTAAATACTTTTACATTCTTAAGTACTTTTTTGGCTTATTGGGATTCACACAAACATAACATTAACCATAAAGCCTACAGTTTCTAAAACAAAAACTAACATTTTGAAAGTAACAAACCTCTAAAGAAATTTGAAGCAATCAATCCATATCACAGAACCAGGTAAAACCTTTTTTTTATAAATGTAAGTGATATCAAAACTAAATCTTTTGAAAACTAAATTATCATATTATCATATGCACAGCAATCGATGTTGCACATGGTTTCTAGATATAAATTCATTATAAAGGCCTTCTTGTAACAAAGTTCAAAACTCAAGGAGACTTCCACACATTTAATTCTAACTAAAAAATGGAACTAAGGCATTAGAATTAAAATCATACAATAATTTTGCCAGTGCTTAATCCTACTATCTTGTTAACTATTATATATATCTATTGTATAAATGTTTTTGATCAGTAAGTTGTAATACTAAAAATGTTGTAAACACCTTGTGTTTACAGGATTTCATGATTATTGTTGTTTTTTCTTAGCACAAAGATACACAATGGACTATATGCAATCTGTCTACCACATGGAACTGAACCCCAAATTTATTAGATATAAGCCTGTAAATTTACATGTGACTCACCTGCAGGGTAATTTCACAATTATATGTTATGACATTACTTCAAATAAAGTTCTTTTAAATACTACTAACAACTTATTTTAACAGAATTCCTTATTATCTATGATGACACCTACTATATACACAGTGTCTACACAAAAATATATTCTATACTCTGTTTTTGTAGTAAAAGATTCAAATCAATCAAGCTTCTATATAAATATAATAGTACTGTCTATTGTATGTCTATGTAATTACTCTGCAGGGTGTGGTTGGACCTTCAGCAAATTTGGTATGGAGGTTCATTGGGTCCATGGGGAGATACATCCAAATTTTCAGTTTTGTACTTTACATTTTGTGGTTTTTACCACTACTTCACCCCCTGTTGATGGATCTTCACCAAATTTGGAATGAAGGTTTGTTGGGTCCATGCGAAGATACATGCAAAATTGTGGTTTTACATTTTGTGTTTTGCAGTTTTTTACAATTACATGTAAGAGAAGCAAATTTCATGCTCTAAGACAACCTTTCATTAATCACGAATCTACATAATTTCTGTCCATGGGACAGGTACTCCAGCTAGTCTATATAAATATAATAGTGTCGTATGTTGTATGTCCATGTAACTACTTCGCAGGGTGTTAATGGATCTTCTCCAATACTTGTATGGAGGTTTATTAGGTTCATTCGGGGAGTATCTACAAATTTTCAGTTTTGCATTTTGTGGTTTTTATGGCCATTTTTGCCTATCCGACACGCAAAGTAATTTTCATTTTAAGATTAAAAATACTTTTATGTATCACAAAATTTTAACATTTCACATGCGAACTCTTTATAATGTCTGGATAGTTATCAAACATTTCTTAAGAAATACAACTTTATATTTTATTTGTTATTTTCACTAACAAATCTCTGTATGTGTTCAGTACAATTGACCGATCTTGTAACCACCATAAAAAATGAAGGAACAAATATAAATCATGCTTCTTTCATTCTAGAATGACAACAAATTATAACACGAAAACATAAATGTTTAGAGTAAATAGCTTAAATCTGATAACATTATACATTTATTATTTTTATTATATTGACCTTTTAGCTGTGCCTGGCGAACAATACAGAAGTTACAATGACACAGCACCCATGCTCTAATGTTATCATTTCCAATAATATAAAACTGACCTTTAGTCTTTACAAAGTGACCTGTCTTGGCTGTGTTTTAGTAGACTAGTATTTTGTAAAATGCAGTCAGACTTCCATTATTATACATTATATATGTATATATATTATTACTATTTAGAAATAAGTTCCTAAACTTATTTTTTTTAAAACATAGAACAGTAAATAAAGAAGTAAAGCAAACAATTATCTCTTCTAGTTTCCACCTTTGTACTCGGTTGCTGCTTGATGTAGGTTGCTAAGCCTTTTAAAATTTTGCACATGGAGGAAATGAAACAAAATAATAAATTACTATATGGATACCAAAGAATTCCACTATAATTTATCAATCTTAGTAACTAAGCTTTAATTGGGTCTAAAAAAATATGAAATTTCAAGCAGACTAAAGACACAACCTACCTCCTTGAAATCTTGGTTCGAAAGAACGAGGTTATGTCCTGACACATTAAAATGGCTGAGAAAGCCACTTGGGGGACATTCCGAGCTTTTGATTGGTTATTCTTATGTCATATATTGAAGTAAGTGTATATAAGGGACCGTTTCCAAAAATGGAAAGAGGTGAGCGGGGCCACTGTGTTTGATTCAGTACATGAGTGATATCTCAGCAAATAGAAAAGATATGATGTTCTTGTTTTATATTCTGGCTTGTTAATATTGGTAATTTGAGTTCCTAATTCATATGAAACTGTAAACGTAGTATTTTGACTTTATAAACATCTAATTTGAATCATTGCTGCATTCAAGTACCATGTGACACACAAAAATCAATGTTTAACTATGGTTTTTTTAATTAAGAAATTAAATAATGTATACAACTAAAATTTGAATTACAATCTACAGTTTGATACCAAACTTATTGACATAAGTTCATGAAATAGCAGTTCAATAAAATTTTGAATGTGAGTCAACAAACTTGATGATATGGCCTTTGACCTGTCTGGAGAGGGTTAATAAAACAATCCACTCTTTCAAACTTTTACCAAAATATGTATTTTGTACATTATAGCAGCATTTTTTCAGCAAAACAAAATATAAAATACTCTAAGTCAATTCTAATGAATAATACAGATTCTTAAGTTTTACAAGACAGTAGGGTATAGTGTGTTATCACTAACACTGATTATTTATACATGGAGGTATTTCTAGAGAAAAAAAAAAGTTATCTGTACTTCTGGTATAATTGGTAAGTTACATTGCAGTAATCTATATATATAACACATGCCATGTTAATAATTGGTCAATGTAACATTTACTTTTCTTAATCAAATGTGTGTGTGGGGTTGGTCCAGTGGACTGCACCCCCATTGGAGAAGAAATGCTGACTATAATTACAAATTTGGGACATGCATCTACAAAAAAATATGGGAAGCTTTGAGTAAAATGTAAAAGTCTGTTGTACACAAAAATTATGTGTCACAAAAGTATTTGTTTTCAGAATATGTCTGCGAATTGACAATGTTAGTTTGATTCACACTCTGACAAGTCAGAGTGAAAGGTGATGTTCATGCAAAGAAAAAAAAAGTCACTTCTGTTCATTCTACAATTTTCATATTGCATTTGCATAACCTCTATAACCTCCAAAATTCACATCTACAGTTTTTTTCAGTATCCTGGTATACTGTATCCGGTATTCTCCTCCACCAGAACTGTTGCTGAGTCAGCAATGAAGGCTAAAATAAACAGTTGATAACTCAGACATAATACCAGGATGAATGGTATACTGTAAAAGGTCATGACATGTGCACTTTGATATCCACCTGTGTATATTGTGTGTCACTTAAAATTCATAGTACTCGTTTTACTTGATCAATATAAGACACATACTTCTGTGGCTAAACTTATTTGGCTTCCATATACTGTGAATGTTATTCACATTAAAATAAAAAGGATGCAACATTTGTCCTATACAATTAATTAATCAAATTAATTGGATGTTGATTCAATAATCTAAATATAGAAAAAAAGAAAAGAAATTTGTCCTTATGTTCAAATTACTTTGTATGTCATGTGCAACAGTGTGGTTTGAAACAGTAGGATGAAGAAAAAAACAATTTTTCTATTTCCAAACCATGTTAAAATGCTACATATGTTACTAATTACCTACAAAAACATGTACTTTTCTGATTAAGTTTATGGAAAAGTAGTCATACTGAGTTGCAATGTACATTTTCTGGGACACACCTAGTTCAAGAATACTTTAATTACTAAACTATAATCAGAAAAGCAACTACATAACACACAGTAGAAGTGTCTTTAGCATTTATTATAGTCACCTTCTAATATCAGAGTTGTCTGCAATGTCTTTGATAATCATAAATATTTTATCCATCTCTGCAGCTACATTTCCTTCAGTCATTTGTCGTTCGTAATCTTCAAGAGTTGCACCTGTAAACTGACACAAGCAATAATGATAATTAATCCCTGGTGTACTATAGCTGTAACTAGTTGAAATGCTTCACTTGAATAATCAGTTGTTTCCAGTATTACATAATTCTATTCAAGAACAATTTAAAAAAAATAGTCTCTACTGAAAGTGAAGCAAAAATTTGGTTACTTTTACCTTATGTAAATAGAGTATCAAATTCCAATACATTCAGGCATTTATCTGGTTCACAAAAGAGATGGGAGATTAATGGAATTTGCTAAGCAATTAATGAGCCTGATAAATGATATTCAACTAATTATTTATCCTCAAATGAGACTTTGACAGTTGGAATAATCAAAAACAGTAATAACTGGAAACATTTTGATTATTTTCAAGAATCATTATACTAATCAAGTTGCACAACTTTGAATTAACATAAAATAATAATAAAAAATCATAATAGCAATACTTTGATTACAAATTTTTTGGAATAATCAAAAACATTAATAATCACAAACACTAATTTTGATTATTTGATTATGTTTTTGTGACACTAATCAAATAAGTCATAATTTTCAATAATGAAGTTAATCACCCAACTCTAGCTCACAGGTTAGGCATGAAAAATACAGTTGTAAATACTAAGAGTTTAACAACTTTATTATCTAATCAAATCTAATGTACAATAATTTCAACACTATTTAAAATATTTAAGCTAATGATGCCAAATAGAGAAATATTTAAAGGAGAGATTTACATTTTTTTGTATCTAAGAAGTAGATGGGAGAAATAAAAGAGAAAATGTTTCATATTAAATAAGCAATACCTCACTTCTATAAAATGATCACATCTAACATGAGTGACGAAAAACGTTTAAAAGCTGGTAAACATGCACATAATACATATAACAAGTTACCAAATTTTCAAACTTGACTGACACACACTTCTGATATAGCAACGCTCCGATACTTGGCCAACACATTTCACATACAGCAACACTCCGATACTTGGCCAACACATTTCACATACAGCAACACTCCGATAATTGGCCAACGCATTTCACATACAGCAACACTACAATACTTGGCCAACACATTTCACATACAGCAACACTCCAATACTTGGCCAACACATTTCACATACAGCAACACTCCGATACTTGGCCAACACATTTCACATACAGCAACACTCCGATACTTGGCCAACACATTTCACATACAGCAACACTCCGATAATTGGCCAACACATTTCACATACAGCAACACTCCGATACTTGGCCAACACATTTCACATACAGCAACACTCCGATACTTGGCCAACACATTTCACATACAGCAACACTCCGATACTTGGCCAACACATTTCACATACAGCAACATACCTTTAACACTTTACAAACACATCTCAAATTATTTTCAGTAGGATGATTCAGAAGTGTAATGAGTAACTCAGTAAGTTTCTTCCCAAGGATCCATAACTTCTCTTTCACTTCTCCAACGACAACCTACAATTAAGCAATTAGACCCATAAGAAAAACAATTAGTTATTAAATGGCATTAAAGTACATCGAAAGAAACTCTTACAATCATGTTAGTAAACAAATTATATTAAAACTACTTGTCACAACTTTATAAATTTAAAGATGAAACAATGCTTTTGATTAATTATACTACTCAAATATGTCTACAACAACAGAGAAATTTTAAGCCCAAGTTACATCTAGAAGATTTAGAATGAAAAAGAAGTTATGAAGATACAGAGAAATCTTATCAATCCAGATAAAGTTTTGAATATAAAAGTATTATTTGGGAGTAACAAAAGAAAAATTAGTGATTGGTTTAAACAGTAAGAAGAAAAAGAAACTTAAATTGTCTGTTCATTACAGGAATGACTCAAAATTCATTAAAAACTATAAATTAAATTAAAATTTGATAGTTTTTACATGTAGTTACACTAGTTTAGTTCAAGTTTACACAAAATAACATATGCATTAATTAATCTCATATATCCTTTGTTTAATGAAAAACTGAATCACCCACTGACACAGTTATGGTTTTCTTACAACTTATTTTACCTTTAAATACATCGTATTTGCTTCTTTTAGTTACCTTTTAGGCTTAATTATACAGAAATTTATCCTGCTTTAGTTTTTGTTAAAATATGTATTGAATTTTTTTCCTTTTTTTGCAACATGACTATTTATCTGCAATTTTTAGTACAATCTGTTAGAGCTAGGAGGCCCATAATAATGATAACCTAGAATTATACCAGAATAAAAATTATTTTTTTTTCTAAAAAATTTATTATAAATACTAGAAAAGATTTTATTTTTAAAATGACACTTGTAACATTTTGGATCTTTTCATTTATAAAAATATTGAAAGTATATCAAAATACAAATTATGTAACACTGTTACTTCAAATATATATATATTAGTTTTTAAAAGATATAAAATTATAACTTATTCTAAAAGCTTTACTGTGACTCAGCTGTCCAAAAGAGAAATAAACTGATTCTTTTTCATGCAAAGGTATTTTTAAAACAACTGCTTTTAAAGTTTTTAAATCATATTTCCCAGTCTGATAGACATAACTGCTCAGTTGAAAGCTCTTTACATGCCTATTGACCATAATGTTTAATATAATGAACATGTCTGGTTGTTACTTTGAGCAAAAATATTACCTTATTTTCTTCAGATATCAAAATACAACTACTTTCCACAAATATTGGGAAATTAACATTAACTTCTGATCAAAGTAATCTACCTACATAGTTATAAAAGCCCACTAAATGAATCTGAAACTGTAACCAGAGCCGATTTTACGGTAGAGCAGCAGCCTAAGGCCCCTCATTATTTGGGGCCTCCATAGATATGTTTTATGATTGATTCTTAAAGATGAAGCTGCAAAATCCCAAAAACAACAACTTTAAGGAAGTTAGAAAGAGTACTGTTAGGGCTAAAAGTAGTGAATTTAGTTATAATGAGCCTATTCTGTCAAGCAACAAATTTCAGCCGTTGGCTTCTGCAGATGGGGAACTATTGGATGGAAGGAAAATAAAAGGATCAGAGAAGGATGTGGATGATAAGGAGGTAATAGTTATAGGTGATTCCTTGATAAGGCATGTGGATAGAATAGTCTGTAGGGTAAATAGGGAGAAAAGAATCAGACTATGCTACCCAGGGGCACAATTGGAAGATATAACTGACAGTGCAAGAGATATAACAAAGGGGACAAGCAGAGATGCAGTTTTTGTAGTGCATGTAGGGACTAATGATGTAGGGAAAGGTAGGTCAGAGGAGCTAATTAATAAGTATAAGGGGATGATAAAGGCACTTAAAGAAAATGGGCATAACTTAATTTTGTTAAGGATACTGCCCAGAAGTAAATGTGGGGATGAGTATAGAAGCAGTTATAAGGATAGGCTTAATTGTTACTACTGTAATGCTAGAAGTATAAAAAATAAAACAGATGACCTTAGAGCACTGGTAGGAATGGAGGATTTTGATATAATGGGAACAACTGAAACATGGTTAAACATAGATGATTTTGATGACAGAAATTTCTTTGAAATACAGGGTTACAGGGTATTTAATTGGGATAGAGTATTAAACACGGGGGGGGGGGGCTTTATATGTAAAATGTGAGTTACATCCTGCTGAAGTTGAGGATATCAACGATAATAGAAAAGAGATTGAATCCAGTTGGGTTTCTATTAGTGGGTATAAAGGGAAAAGGCTTTTAGTGGGAATTTGTTACAGACAACCAATTGATACTGATGAAATTAGTGAGAAACTTTACAATGAGATTAAGATTTCAGCTATTAGTGAAATCATAATTGTGGGTGATTTTAATTTCAGGGATATAAACTGGAAAATGCTACAGTCAAACCATGAGGGGGAAAAGGTTTTTGGAAACTGTTCAGGATGGTTTTCTTAATCAGTTAGTCAAGGAACCAACTAGAAACAATGTCATTTTACACTTATTGTTAACTTCAATTACAAAAATGATTGAGAGGGTTGAAATTGGGGAACATCTGGGTGCAAGTGATCATTGCTCTATTAGGTTCAATGGTTTGCTGCATATGGAGATAAGGAATAATGATATTTTAATTATAAATTTCAGAAAAGCAAATTTGGAGTGGATGTGACAAGAATTATCTGTTGTGAATTTGGCAGCTGAGTTATTTGGAGACACTGATCAGATGTGGAATATTTTTAAAGATAAATTTTTAAATATTCAAGGTAAACATATTGCTTATAGAAAAAAAAAGGGTAACTGCAAGTAAAAAAACCAGGTTGGCTCACAAAGAGTTTAAGAGATAAAATTTAAAAAAGCATCATAAATTTAAGAAATTTAAATTGACTGGTATGACAGGAGATTTAGAAGATTATAGAAGATCAAGAAAGTTGGTGAAACAGGAAATTAGGACATCTAAAAGGATGTATGAGAAAATTTTTGCTGAAAATGTAAAAATTAACAGTAAGAATTTCTTTACATACATTAAAGGTAAACAAAATGTTAGGACCGACCTCATAATCATTTTGTGCTTGTAATAGTTTTCATGCTATAACTTTCATGCTAAGCATAAATTATGCCTCTTTTCATTCTAGAATGAACACAAGTT